TGCTGGTGCTGGTGGTGGCCGTCGTCAGCCTGCTGGAGGCCAAGCGTGAGCCCGGGGGCCGAGGGGGGCCGGCATGGGGCTGGGGGGACGGTTACCGGTGAGGGACTGGTGGGAGACCCGGTCCTTGGTGGGGGTGGTCAGCCCATCATGGCCCCAACGCTCACCCAACGCTCTGTCCTTTCTAGAGGCGCCCAAAGTGCAGGTCTACTCCCGCCACCCAGTCACATTTGGTGACACAAACGTCCTCAACTGCTACGCGGAGGGTTTCCACCCTCCCAAGATCAACATCACCCTGCTGCAGGATGGCAAGCCCATGGCGAACGTGCAGTACTCTGACATGTCCTTCAGCGACAACTGGACTTTCCGTCGCCTGGCCTACGCCACCTTCGTCCCCACCAAAAGTGGCGTGTACACCTGCAGGGTGGAGCATGTCGCCCTCACGGAGCCGCAGACTTTCAAATGGGGTATTGTGGATTTTCTGCTTGCTTGTGAAAGAATTAGTTAGAAGAAAAGACCTGGTTCAGATATAAGGGGAGGTCTGGAGGTAGCTGGTTCCTTGACCTCCTAGGTGAAGGAGCCCTAAGGAAGGGTATGGCTGGTAATGGGGTGATCTTTGGCTTTGAAGCAGGTCTAAGGAGACCAGCACTTAACGTTTAGATTTGCGCTTAATGAAATCACCCCTCTCATCATATGGCTTGAATCTTGGGTCATGAAAAGGATCGGGGAGTGGGGTTTCAGTGCAGTCCATTCCAACAAGCATGCGCAGCCTAGTCAGGGCAGCTCTGCTTTGTGCAGAAGTGTGGGCTGCGGTGAAAGGGGGGGTTGTGTTTGCTGTGAACGACACCTGAGGCTCTGCCTTTGTTTCCTGCAGATCCAGACTTCTAGGCTGTGCTTGGGATAGCTGTGGTAAGTTACTCTGAGCCCTGGAACATGGTCTGTGGGGGCAAGGCCATCGTTTGCAGAGCTGAAGAACAAAAGTAACCCTCAACAAAAACACTCTGTATGGTGGTGCCAGTAATCCAGGTTGCCCTGAATTACATGAGTCAACGTACGATGATGCCTAGACAACACCTTCCAAGAATCCTCTTGGCTCAAAAGAAAGCAGCCCTTTGGGGAAAAAAAAAACTAATTCCTGCTTCCGTGGCATGTCTGCTAGATACCTTCCGAATTTTCAGAGTGCTCTGCATCCCCTGGTGCTGCCTGTGGCCTAGCAGAGGGAAGTTGTAGTACCCAGGAATTCCCCTAGAGGCTTTGCTGCCTCCTGAGGAAGGAAGGCCCTGGTTAACTCTGCACGAGGCTCTGGGAACAGTGAAGTGTCAGCTTGGGAGCGTGGGATTCCCGAGGCAGGGACAACAGGGACTTTGCTGGAGGTTGAGGGCAAGGAGCTAGAAGCTGGAGCATTAGAGGCAAGAGCAGGCTATAGAGTGAGACTGTCATGATGGATGGGATTTGGGGTGGAAAACTCTGTTTTTCATAACAGAGCAGCATTTGTTGAAGATTAAGGCCCCCATGGAATAGGGGATAGAAAAGCAGATTTTTGCAGGGTGGGAAGGTGGGAGCGTGAGTTCACACATGGAAAACACTGGAGTGTTTGAAAATGAAGTTAGAAGATATGAGCGGAGTGACTGACATCACTAATCTCTTCCTGACACAGGTTTCACAGCTTCCAAGCTGAAATCAGCCTAAGTGTCTGTCCCTTCTTCACGTCCCGCTTGATAATGAAGATGAATCATCTTGACTGCGCACAAAATGCCTTTTCCGTAGAATGCTGTCCGCTAGGGTTGAAAATGCATTAACTTGCTGAGTTATATTCCCTGCCTTCACCATGGAATTAAAATACCGAGGAGTTAAGATGGGAGGAAATCATGTGGAGGGCTCTCTGCCTGTGAGGCAGATGATCCTCAAACACAGCAGCACTGTAGAAGCTGCCCCGAACTGGTAGTTATGGTGGAGCTCCAGAATGAGTTGATTGTCAAGGAATCTAATTTTTGTAAATGATTTGACCCTTCTAGAGATGTACAATATAAATTTGTTCCGTTGAGACTTTTGAAAGTCCTGCCCATTTGTAACGTATGCTTGCCCTGATAGTTTTGGCTGCATCCCCAGCTGTGTGGGTTGGTAGGAGCACTTTCAAGAGCAATTACTAAAGCTTTTAATTAAAATACTAGCTGCCTTAGAGGCAGGTGCTAGCTAGGCATTCTCTGTGCATGTTAACTCTGTATCTACATTACCAATTAAAAGATGATGCAACTTTTTTCATGTTCTGAATTGTATGGAGTATTTTACCTAAATAAAATTGGAAAATTTGAGTGAGTGCTGTCTTTCTGAAGAGGAGGCACATACTTCACTAGGGCAGCATGAAGAACTGTGCTTGCTTCTGGGTTTGTCCCGGGGAGAAGGCTTAAAGTGGACACCCTGGTGGAGAGCGTTGAACGTGCGGACTCGAGCTGGGCTGAGATGAGGCGGCTGCTTTCACTTCCCAAATGTTCCTCTCTCCCTCGAGTGGTTTGACCTAATAGTGAGGAAATCTAGCTGAGGGTCAGCTCCTGTGTCACACCTCAGGTTGAACAAGGTTTGGATGAGAGCTTCCCCAAAAGGCTGGTGCTATCGAAGCTACCCAGCAGAACCCTGTAAGCTGTGTAGCCACGATGGGTCTGCTTGCTTTTATTTTATGGGAGGGTGAATACAATTACTTCACCACTATTAGGGAGGATTGGATTTCTGCAGATGCATGAACAAAGCTTCCTAGTAAGTACATTCAACCTGGAGCAAGTGGTCCATCACACTTATTTTGCAGTGGAATATTATGATTTACGGTGATTTGGAACTGCCAAGATCAAACATTCCCTCATGATCTTGGCCTGCTGCCATAGCCTCTTCCATTACCATTGCTTTCTGTGCAAGGTGAAGAGAAACCCTGTCTGACACTAACCTGTGTCTTCCATGTGCTTTGCTTGAAAACACATCTGGGGCAAAACTGAGTTGTTTACTGCAAGTCTCTCTTGGCTTCTGATTAAAATGATCCAAAAACGCTGGGAGCAAAGTGCTCTTTATGTTTCTTCTAAGAGAGGAATCTTCTCTCAAGAAATCAATTCTAATCTTAGTCTTTCAGACCGCTTGGCAGCAATTGAGTGCAGGGATTTACGTTCCTGCTCTCCCATTGTTCTTGTGTTTTTCCGGCATTATCCCAAGGGCGGTAGGCGGGATGCAGGCACCATGGGGGACAGTCCCCGTGTCTGACTTTCTGCTGAACATCAAAACAAGGTGCCTGCGGTGCCTCTTGTCCTGTGAGAGTGGATGGGATGTCATTAGTCACCTTGCTCCGGGGCTGTCACCGGGGACCACCACCCCCTTCCAGAACCTTCCAACAGCCGCCCGCTCAGACAGACCGACAACCAAGGTCAGCCCCGGGCTGTGGGTAGCACGAGCCCGCCAAGGCCACGGGATGGGGATCATGGGGATGCCGGGGTTGCCCTGGGCGGCGGGCTGGGACCTGTCTCTCCTCAGAGGCCTGGATCTGGAGCAGCGTCACCCCTCGCCTCACCTGGCTGTGGCAGGAGCTCACTGCGGTCACCTCTCTCTGGCAGGACATGCTTTTCGCTTCGATCCGAGCTGCTTTCTCCCGCCATGGTGTCACCCAGCGCGGCCGTAGTCTTTCCCTTGCCGACGTCCATCCGTGAGCTGGAAAGCTTGCCCGACCTTCCTGCGGCGCTGCCGGCCGACCTCTTCAGCAAGGACTTGTCCTGCACCATCTGCCTCAAGTGGTTCACAGAGCCACTGATTCTGCCCTGCGGCCACAACTTCTGCAAGTCGTGTCTCACAAATGCCTGGGCCGAGCAGGCGGCTTGCGCTTGCCCACAGTGCCAGGCCGAGGTCCCAGACAGGCAGTACATAGAAAACACGGTGCTGGCGAAGGCCCTGGAGAGCCTCAAGGGCTTCCAGGTGGAGCAGGGCGAGGAGAAGTGCGGCCAGCACGGCAAACCGCTCACGTTCTTCCGCAAACTGGACGGAAAACTGGCCTGCTTCCTCTGCCGAGAGGCGGCCAAGGAGCAAAGCGACCAGTTTCTGCTCGTCTCCGAGGCCGTGCAGCACTACATGGTGGGTACCCTGTGAACGCGGTGAGGCGCTGGCTCGTTATTTGATCTTGAAGCAAATGAATTTGGATGCAGTCGGTCCTCTGTGTTGAAAAAGCTCCTCACATTTGTCCTACTGAGGCACTGCAAAGCTTGGCCTTCAAGGCCAACCCTGCCCTGAGCAACAGTCCTGCAGGATTTCCACACGAGAACCTGGGCTGCGGGGGAAGAAAAGCTCTTGTCTACGAGATTTCAAGCAAAAGCAGTAGGTCTGTGGCTGGGCAGAGGGGTCTGCTTGCTTACAGGGTGCTTATCCGAGCTGAGATCTTTCAATTAAGTGCTGCTTTTTGCTGACAGTATGAACCGCTGTGATGTTGCGGCAACACACCCATCGCGCAGGCACATCTGCCTCCAGTTATTCCTCTTCTCCCATATCTTAAGTCGAGAGAAGGAGTTTGCCCTGTGCTCCCCGGGGCACTGAGGAGGCTCCCAGGGTGACAGTCATGTGTGTCACGCCAACAGGAAAACCTGATCCTAATTAGGAGCCGAGTGGAGTCCACCGCACACAAGCTGAAGCCCCTGTGGCAAAGGCAGAAGGAGCAGATCGCGTCCCACCTGGTGAGTGGCATTCACGTGGCAGACGAAGCCGCTGGGGCTCCTCCAGAGCAAGGAGGCCCCACAGGCGCCCCGGCACAGCCGTGGCGTAGATCAGGGCTCGTAACCAGCAGTGCCTTTTGGTGAAAAGCTTCTCCAGTCTTTCAGGGGGGTAGGGTTGGTGTAGGCTACCTGGGTAAGTACGAAGCACGCAACAAGTCTCATTGGTGGTTTATGAGTTATAAGCAATTTTGCTGAGAGCAAAGTATTTCCCAGGTTAACACAGAATCTGTGTTTTTAGGAGAACAGGTTGCTTCTTCAACAGAACATCTCTTTAGAGTTTTTCAAGCTTCACCAGTTCCTCCATGACAGAGAGAAAAGGCTAATGGATGAGCTGCAGGAGAAGGGGAAAGTCTTTCTTCAGGACATGCAGCTCAATATGAGTGTCCTCCAAGAAAAGTGGAACCAAGCAAAAGAGATACTGACTCACATTCAGTCCCGGCTCTACCGTCACAACTCCACCAGCTTCCTAACAGTGAGAAATTGAGGTTTAGATTTAAAAAAAAATCAGAAAAGGGAAGAGTGGGTTAGCAAAGAGAGAACCTGGGGGATGAGGGGCTTCCTTGGAAAGAAGGGATGGGGAACAACAAAGGAGAGTTTGGTAATTATGTTTAGTAATTATTTGTAACCTTACAATTCTCTATGGATGAGTTCTGAAGACCAAGCTTCAAAATATAAACCGGCTTCTGACACATCTTGTGGGTTATCACCAAGGACACCTGTATGGAATAAGCTCCTAACTGTAGAAATTTCACAGTGGCGAGAAATGCATGTGGTCCAGGTAGGAAATCAGTAAGGGAAGAAAGGATTCAGGATTCACCAAAATCTCCCTAGCTAAAGCCTGGAGGCCCAACTCCATGGCCAAGTGCGTGTGTAGCTCCTGGCAATCCAGTGTTCCCCCAGGAAGGAGAAATGCTGCCGGCTGGCATGGCTTGTGACTCAGGCAATTCTGGTGGGAATGAGTTTGGGATCCACTCCAGGCACAAAGTGTTAGGAGAAACGCTCATGCTGCAATTGTGAGGGGAAGGCTGCCCGGTGCCCAGAGCACCAGGTGCCGATTTGAGCTCAACTAACCAGGGCTTCTCTTGGCGATGGCACCCCTGCTCAACACCTCCTCTTGCCTTTTGTTTAACAGGGCATCAAGGCCTTCATGAACTGGTAAGTGCATGCAGAAAATAATTATTCGGGTTGTTTAAAAAAACTCCCTAAAAATGAGTAAGCAGCAAAGAGTCTGTCTTTCTACGTTGCATTTCACTATGAATAATCATGTAACTTGAATATGGGCATACTTGGGCATATCCAGCTTTGCTGAAGTAGTAAAATCCGTGAGCAGAAAACATTCTGCACAAACCATGAGCGCGGCGGGAAGCCAGCCATGCCGTGGCCGTGTCTCGACCACGTGCAGTCCAGCTGAACCTGGCAAACCCAGCTACCGAGCTGGATTTCTCCTATATTTCCTGCTCTCCACACTCCCAAGCTAACTGAAAGCATGACTTGTCGCCCGCTCAGCTTGCAGGAGAAAGCCCATGGCCTGTCCGAGGGTCAGCTCGTGTGCCGTGAGCTCAGCCCGGGGCAATTCAAGGGGCCCGTCCAGTATGCCGCGTGGAAGGAGATGAAATCCATACTCAGCCCAGGTAAGGAGATGCAGCTTGGTCACGCCCATGGGCTTTGCCACCAGCCGTAAGGGGAACTCATGCAGAGCATCAACTTGAAGAGCCTCAGTATCCTCATTACTACAAAATCTGGTCCTCCATATGAAGAGCCTCGCGAGGCGTTTCCTTCGCCAAGTTTTTCTTCTTCTCCTTTCCACCCTAGGCCTATCCTTGATAACGCTGGACCCCACAACAGCGCACCCCAACCTTGTGCTGTCCACGGATCTTACCAGCGTGAGACACAGCGACACCAAACAGCTGCTGCCCATCACCCCGGAGAGGTTTGAATCCAGCATCGCTGTGCTGGGAGCCGAAGGTTTCAGCACAGGGAAACACTACTGGGAGGTAGAGGTGGAGAAGAAGACCAAGTGGACCTTGGGAGTGGTGAAAGGCTCCATCAACCGCAAGAAGAGGCGCCCGCTCTCGCCCGCAGAAGGCTACTGGGTCATCATGTTGAGAAATGGCCATGAACTTAAAGTGCTGGACGTGCCCACCAAAGGGCTGCTCCTGCAGGCGGGCATCACTAAGGTCGGTGTGTATCTTGACTACGAGGGCGGGCAAGTGTCCTTTTACGAAGCTCACGCCATGTCCCACATCTACACGTTCAGGGACACGTTCACGGAGACGCTCTACCCCTACTTCTGCCCAGGCCTGAACGAGGCTGGGGAAAACAGCCACCCGCTGCAGGTATTTTCCACCAAGACCTAGCGCGCAGCGTTACCAGCGCTGCCTCCCAGCGCTGCTCCATGGCGTCCAGGAGAGCCAAACACACAGTCTGTGACGCACCGTTTCCAGAACACCATTACGGACTGCCTGTGCACCCGGCGTTTGATTTATAACTCTCCCCACTGGTTTCATGGTGGTGGGGGGCGGTTCAGATACCAGGGCGAGAGTCCCGAAAACGGGGAGGTTTTGGGGCAGGCAGGGGGCGGGGAGGGTGCCCGGCAGGAGGCCCGGGGCCCTTCCCGCCTCGGGGCAGGC